AGAATAATCCTTTCACCTATATCTCAGATATTGAAGCCTTCAAATACTTTGAAGACCCCAAGATGCAGAGAATCCTCTAGCTGTGATCTGTACCCCATGCTACAGAGGAAGGTGAAAAACCTCCAGGGCCTCTGCCAATCTATCCTGGAGGAAAATTCCTTCCCGACCCCAAATATGGCCATCACCTGAACCCTGAGCATGTGGGCAAGACTCATCAGCCAGACACCCAGAAAGTTCTCTATAGTAACTCCTATCATCCCTCCATTGACCTATTTACCTCTGATAATGAGTGGTCAATTAGTTACCAAGATCATGTTATCTCATCAAACCATCCCCTTCATAAACCCATCTAGTTTAATCTTGAAACCAGATAGATCTTTTGCCCCCACTACTTCTCTTGGAAGGCCGTTCCAGAACTTCACTCCTCTAATGGTTAGAAACCTTCGTCTAATCTCAAGTCTAAACTTCCTACTAGCCAGCTTATATCCATTTGTTCTTGTGTCCACATTGGTATTAAACTTAAATAATTCCTCTCCCTCCCTGGTATTTATCCCTTTAATATATTTAAAAAGTGCAATCATGTCCCCCCTCAGCCTTCTTTTGGTTAAGGTAAACAAGCCAAGGTCCTTGAGTCTCCTTTCATAAGACAGGTTTTCCATTCCTCAGATCATCCTAGTGTCCCTTCTTTGTACCTGTTCCAGTTTGAATTCATCCTTCTTAAACATGGGAGACCAGAACTGCACACAGTATTCCAAATGGGGTCTCACCAATGCCTTGTATAATGGCACTAACACCTCCTTATCCCCACTTGAAATACCTCGCCTAATACATCCCAAGATCGTATTAGCCTTTTTCACGGCCATGTCACAGTGACGGCTCATAGTCATCCTATAATCAACCAGGACTCCGAGGTCCTTCTCCTCCTCCGTTACTTTCAACTGATGTGTCCCCAGCTTATAACTAAAATTCTTGTTATTAATCCCTAAATGCATAACCTTACACTTCTCACTATTAAATTTCATCCTATTGATATTAGTCCAATTTACAAGATCATCTAGATCTTCCTGTATGATATCCCAATCCTTTACTAAATTGGCAATACCTCCCAACTTTGTGTCATCCACAAACTTTATCGGCACACTCCCACTTTTGCTGCCTAGGTCAGTAATACAAAGATTAAATAAGATTGGTCCCAAAACTGATCCATGAGGAACTCTGCTAGTAACCTCCCTCCAACCTGACAGTTCACTTTTCAGTATGACCCGCTGTAGTCTCCCCTTTAACCAGTTGCTTATCCACCTCTCAATTTTCATATTGATCCCCATCTTTTCCATTTTAACCAATAATTCCCCATGTGGTACTGTATCAAATGCCTTACTGAAATCGAGGTAGAAAGCTATTTACCTGGTAACACCATCTTCCCAGAAGATAGTAAGACTTGGGATCATCTGGTTTCAGGGCAATTGCTTTATCAAGATGTTCCTAAAGAAAAGCAGAGCCAAGACATAGAATTAACTTAGGATAAAATCAGCGTATAGGGTCACCAGATGATTGCAAAAAAATACTGGACGCACTCGATCTCAAATGGGGGTGGGGACTGGTTGGGAGGGGAACAGGGCTGGCCGGGAGGAGGTCAGGGGGAGCGGTGCTGGCAAGGGAAGATGGGAAGCAGGGAAGAACGGCTGGCAGGAAGCAGGGCTGGCCGGGAGGGGGTTGGAGGGAGCAGGGCTGGCTGGGAGGGAGTCAGGGGGTGGAACTGGCCAGAGGGAAGCAGGGCTGGCTGGGAGGGGGTTGGGGAAGCAGGGTTGGCCCTGGCACAAACGCTGACTAATAGTTGGACAGTAATATTTCAGTGGAGCGGCAGGGAGCAGGGATGGCTGGGAGCAGGTCAGGGGGAGCGGAGCTGGCCAGAGGGGAGGGGGGGAAATAGCCGGCGGGGAGCAGGACTGACCTGGGTGCACACAGATCCAGAGGCGCTGCCTGTCCCGCGCATGGTCCTGGGGATTCCATCCTGGCCCCCCCCTCACGTAATTGTGTACTGCCTGGCTGGTAGACATGCTCATGCAGCGTGAGCGTGTCTACCAGCCAGGCAGTACGCAACTACGTACTGATACTCATGATAATAATAAAACTTAATTAGAAAATACCAGACATTTATACGTCTGGCATTTTCTCAATTTGTTTCCTGAACAGAAAGCTCAAATATCAGACTGTCCAGTTCAAAACCGGGCACCTGGCAACTCTATCCGCGTAGTCCATAAACAGATTTATTATGGGGGAAAAGGCTAGTGATACAAGTGCCATTGCAGTATAAAAATCATGGCGAGAAAAGTTCTAACAGTTGAACCTCTCTAGTCCAGCACCAAACCAGAGAATTTGCTGAACCATGGCAGGTCAATATTGCCTAACAGCATTACCAACACTTCCGCTAATTATTAGGCTCTTAGAAGACACTTAGATAAATGAGAACTAAACACAGAATACTGAGAGCTAGGACCAATCACTATAAACAAACTTCACAGGACCAAGGGAAACTTGGTCACACTCATGATAGGTGGACACACATCTAACTGAAATCATGCCAGACCCTGGGTGCTGCTGGATCAGAGTTCAATCTGTATTTAAGTAGGTCTATCAAGTGATTAAAAAAAATTAATCATGTGATTAATCACGATAGAAATGTAGCCGTGTTAGTATGGTGTAGCTGAAACAAAAAACAGGACTATGTAGCACTTTAATCATTAATCATATGATTATTTGCCAAGTTAAATAATAGAATACCATTTATTTAAATATTTTGGATGTTTTCTACTTTTCCAATATTTTTATTTCCATTACAACAGAATATGAAGTGTACAGTTCTCACTTTATTTTTTACTACAAATATTTGCATTTAAAAACTAGCATTTTTCAATTCCCTCATTACAATTACTGCAGTGCAATCTCTATCACGAAAGTTGAACTTATACATGTAGATTTACAAAAAAATAACTGCATTAGAAAATACAACAATGCAAAACGTTTCAGCCTACAAATTCACTCAGTCCTAATTCTACGTCCACTTACACAAAAGTTTATTTTCTGCAAATGTAAACAAGCTGCCTGCCCCTCTTATCCACAATGTCATCTAAAAGCGAAAACAAGTGTTTTCATGGCACTGTTGTAGCCAGCATTGTAAAACATTTACATGCCAGATGTGCTGAAGATTTGCATGTCCATTTATGCTTCAATCGCTATTTCATCAGACATATCCCATGCTGGTGAAGGGTACTGCTAGATAAGGATTCAAAACAGTCCTGACCAATGCATGTTCAGTTTCATCATCTAAGTCAGATGCCACCAGCAAAAGGTTTTCTTTTTTTGTTTGCTAAGGTTCTGTTAGGGTCAAGTGTGGGGGACCCCATGGCTCCGAAGGCGGCCTGAGGAATTAGCCACAGCGGCAGGAAGCAGAGCAACCAGCCCACTTCACTCAGCCTGTTTCCAGCTATGTAACTTCACTTCCTGCTGCCTCCCAGTGAGCTCCCCAAGCAACAGATACAGGGAATTTGTGGGGACCAGGCACAGGGCTAGCCCATACTCACTGGCAGTAATCCATGTAATCCCCCTTTTCTGCAGAACTGATGCTTAACCAATTGGTCCCCAATAGGGATGTGAATGGTTAATAGGTTAATGCGCTAATGGGTAATGCTTACTGGTTTCAGTTAACCCTAGGGTCTGGAGCAGCTTCCCACCTGCCCCAGGCAGGGCACAGCTCCAGTCCTGGGAGGCCCCCAATACAGGCAGGGACTGCTTCAGCCAGCTAATGAGAACAACCCCTGTCCATGGCAGGTCCGGTCTACTCCCCTGCTCCCAGAGCAGGGGCAGGAGAAGGGGAATGTCAGAGACCAATACAGCAGTACACAGACAATCAAGTCCCCTATGAGAACCAGGGCCTGTCATATGGAAGCTTCTGTTAGTTGTCTGAAGAAAACTTCATTTGCCTCATCCACCTGATATGGTGGTCTATAGCAGACACCCACCACCACATCACCTTTGTGGCTCCCATCTCTAAACTTAACCCAAAGATTGTCAAACAGGCTTTTCTCCCATTTTACATTGTTTTGGTTTTGAATGCAGTTAAGCAACAATCTATATTTGTAAGTTGCATATTAAAGAGATTGCACTATAGTACATATGAGAAATTGAAAAATTCTGTTTATCATTTTTACAGCTCAGTTATTTGTAATTATAATATATAGTAAGCACCGTACACTTTATATTCTGTATTATAACTGAAAATGTAGAAAAGCATCTAAAATATATAACACATTTCCTATTATTTAGCAGTGTGATTAATACTGCGAGTAATCATGACTAATTTCTGAGTTAATCACAAGTTAACTGTGATTGACAGTCCTAATTTTAAGTAAATATAGACAATGTAAAAAATGCAGTTCACACCCTTCAAAACTGAAGTTAAGTATCATCTACCATCACAGGCATCAGCAATGCAGGCTTCCTCCAGTCTGCCAACATCTCTTAGCCTTGACAAAGGGGCTGCTAGTAAAAGTGAAAGGATATTCCTTTTTCCATACCCATTCAATCCTTAACTTCTTCACAAAGTGGTGGCAGTATGGAGATTTTGCAGAGTAAGAACTGGACTGGCACAACTCACTCATTTCACACAGACCAACTCTGAGACTAGACTATTGTCATTTTCTTCCACAATTCAGGCCACCTTACCTTTTGAATCCCTTCATTGGATTCTTATCATTTTTAGCACATAATTCTAAACCAGTATTTCTTGCTTTCCACTCTAGAAACAAGCAATGAAGAACTCACACCCATGAAGCAACTGCTTTTTACTCACCTTAAAAACATAGCCAGCTTGAATACGCTTCTGAATACTTTCATGTTCTGCTAACTGGCCACAAAGAATAGCATACCTATATAGAAAACAAACTCACTGTAAGAAGTCACATTGTTACAATTCCCAATGATGGTTTACACTTCCATGTGCAGCTTACTTCCAAAGATCTTCAAAGGCTTTCCAAACATCAGTTAACACGTTTTCCCGGTTCAAAAATAAAGGCATGAGAGAAGCAGTGACTTGTCCCAGGTGTGCGAACTCAATAGAACAGTGACTAAATCTCAGAAGTTCTGACTTGAGTCCCCTTCTCAATCACCACACAACATTTTTTCCTCTATGCAAGAAAGAATAGCATATTTATTTTGTTAGGATTGAAAGTTTTATCCTTTTTATATTTGTATTTTTAGGTTTAATAATGTAGCAATGTAAGGTAACATATTATTACATTTAAATTAAGCCCTTTAGTAAAAAATATATATATTTAAAGCTTAGTAAGTAAAGAGACGGGATCTCGTATTGTGTCTATGTCAATAAGATTAGAGGAGTGTTGAAGGCCCGAGCCTTCAGTGTGAATTGTTTTAATTACAAAATTTGGTAAGGTAATTTACTGTGCTGTTTGTAACTCTGTATAAGATTGTTTGTATGAATGAGATACGGTGTGAAGGTCATCCTTGGAGCCAGATGGTCAAGAGAGAAGGGGGAGAATGTGGGGTGAAGACAATATGTAAAAGACAGACTGCGAAGAAACATATTGGCGTAAGAAAAACCATCAGTGCGTACCCACAGTCAAGAATTGACGGCTCTAAAGGTGAAGGGCGGGCACCCCTGAGAACAACTGATTAAATCCAGGACAGGATGAGCCTTCAAGATAGGTTCGGGAACGATTGACATCAACAAGATAACATTCTGGTCACAGGCTGACAGAGTGGAATCCATTGATTTCAAAAGAGAAAAGGATTATAAAAGCAGGGTGCTTTGCTATGGAACTTTAGGTTTGTCTCGACACTAACTCCAGAAGAGCATCGGATCAATCGACCGACAAAAGCCCTGCTCTCCCTCTGTGTTCAATCTAGCTGGCCACTAGACTGATACTGGTAACTAAAACATCGTCTGGCAGGAGAGGGAGAGGGTGTGGGTGTGGGTGTGGGTGGTTGAAAAGCATATGCAACTGTTATATTCTCAATAAATGCGGCATACTGCCTTTTCCCCTATAAAAGATCTCGTGTGCTTCATTTAAGCAGATAATTTTACAACATTCTCCCTCTTCCCTTGTCAAGTAAACAGTGTCAAAACACTGACACTGGGGCACTGAAGAATAAACAGCAACATTAATGCATTATTAGATGGAGGTCTTTCTTTATGCACTAGTAAAGATGTGGCACTTGCTTGAGGAGATATGGAATCCTATTTTGAGTACAAATGTATTGTTTAAGTTTTCCCATCTCCCTCACCCCAAGATCACCTCCAAACCTGGAAAACAACAAAAACAGCAAGCATTTTCAATGATCCAAACTCAGTAGCTAATAGATGACATTAAGCCATTAAGTTTATGCTCCATTAAAAATCTAGTAATTTTAGATTCCACTTAAAAAACAAACAAAAGACATGGAAACAAGATTATAACTTCACTGGCAGCCATTTTAATAGCTCAAGTTGCATGATCCAATTTTATACTTTGTACTTGATAATGATCAATGTAGAAGTTAAAATTAACATGTGTCCATACTCCGATACCTTTTTTGAATATTGGTCCAGTACTAATGTTCTGATTTCCATTGTTAACTCCAGACATCAGCAGACTAATGACTTATTGGATGGATTCCTGGTTCGAATTGGATAAGTAGTAGCAGCCATCTGCCACACTCGGCCAATGGAGATGCCACTCACAAATGTACAAAATATGGCTGCGCATATTCTGCTGGGCTCCTTGGATTTGCCTCCCATTCAGTGGCATATAACCCAACCCTGTTCAGGAATGCATTATGGTTTAGGAACAAGAGGCACATGCCATGGGTATCAGAATCAGAGTTGTTTTTTCCCCTTAAAAATAAACAAAAAAATTCTAGCTCTAGTGGATGTGGAGAAAAGCTCAGGAATTTGACTAAGTTGCATAACTGCAGGCATGTTAGCCTGAGCCTGAAGATAGCTTCTAGAAGAGGGAGAACAACAGCTACTAAAACCAGGGGAAGCCATTTGGCTTTATAACCACTACAAGAACAGACCATACTCCTTCATGGAGTTTTGGGAGGTCAGGGAACTTGATGCCATGTTGGTCTAGAACCTAAACCTGTAGAGCGATGAGACAGCTGACATCTCCAGGCTGCTACCCAGTGGCAGCAGTAATCAGTTTGCCCTCCAGTTCCTATGATGGCTGTGAGCATAGACCACAGAAAGTTCCATCTCAAGGGCTTGACAGACAGCAACTCTGTGGCTCCTTGCTCAAACCCAACCGTATTTCAGGAGGTGGCCAGGCAACAGTGTGGATCTTCTGTGGTTATCATGACCGTTTCCACTCCTTGCTCTTGAACTCTTGTCTTGATCTCAGCTTGGTTTGGACTTTGCCTCCTGACTCTGATCATTGGTATCAACCCTGGCTTGGCCCGTATTACAAATTCCTCTGCTACTTCCAGCCACTGTTTTTTCCCCCCTGCACTAATCCTTGGCTTTGACTGACCTTACTGGGATCCTGACACACTGGGTTCTATTGATCTCCTCTGTCCTTTTGACTTCATGGGTCATAATGAGGAAGAAAAACTGTGGTAGGCTATGTTTAAACTGCACAGTTATTTTGGAATAAATTATTCCGAAATAGCTTATTTTGAAATAGAACGTCTATACTGCAAGGAAGCCTCAAAATTAGTCCAAGGCAGGCTTCCCTAATGTAGATGTGCTATCTCGATTTAGAGCCCCAGAAGGAATAACTTAGAATGGTCCAGGTGAGGGGCTATTTCGAAATAGCAGAAGTGAAGTGTCTACACACACCTTATTTCAAAATAGGTATTATTCTTTGTAGAATGAGGTTTACAGAAGTCAGAATAAGCCATCCGTTATTTCAAAACAACAGAATTGCTGTGTAGACGCTTGTATAGTTATTTCGGAATAACGGCTGTTATTGTGAAATAATTTTGCTGTGTAGACGCAGGTGTACTGCCCCTAGTGCCACCCATTCATGGCACCAAAACAGACCGTTCAGATCTTCATCGTATGGCTGTCCTCCTCCTCATATGTTTTGATGAAGATAGTCAAAGAGTTAATGTTTGACATTTAAATCATCATTGGGCATTTGAGTGCACAATCCCCTGAGATGAGATGGGGAAACTCATCCTTCTCAGAAATTGGTTCAGGTTCTCTGCAAACTTGGGCAGGTGCCACTGCACTGACTATACTGAGGTCAGATTTTAGAGATTTTATTAGCAACCATGGAAGCTAACAAGTAGTCCTGTGGCACCTTAGAGACTAACAAATATACAGGCTTGTGAGCTTTCGTGCGTAAAACCCTCTTAATCAGTTTTGATTAAATGGGTCTTACCCACGAAAGTTCACGATCCTATATATTTGTTAGTCTAAGGTCCCACAGGACTTCTCATTGTTTTTAAAGTTACAGACTAATATGGCTACCCGAGACACAGAAATTAAGAATTTCTTCTTGAAGTGAAAGCTGACATTTTGAACAAGATGATCACTTCAAAACACCCACCTGCACCACGTTTGATCACTATCTCAGTCCAATTAGAGCCTTGTGTGGACTCTGCTAGACAACTGCACAAAATTTCAACCTGTCCTGTATTCAGCTGCTAGTGTTATTACCTGAACCATAGGACTACTTAACACATGGCTCGTGGGCTGCATGCAGCCTGCAGCTCATTTGTTTGTGGCCAGTGGTGCGGTTTGGGTTTACGTGGGGCTTAACACGTGGCCCATGGGCAGGATCATTTGAACATGGCCTCCACTGGGAACACGCTCCACAACAGCAAGGTGTCTCCCGGGCAGGGTGAGCGTTGAAAGATGCAAGCAGATGGGCTGGCTGGACTACACGGGTACAGGGTGTTGGCGTTTCTAGCCCACTGGGAGGAAGTGCTGGGAGCACTGGGGCATTGTGGGAAGTGATGGCTTCCTAGCCCTGTGGATAGAGCCTGAGAGGTGCTGACTGGCTCACACTGGCCACTTCTGGGTCCAGCACTGCAGCTTAAGGCTTAATTTTTGTATTCATGCCTGTCCGTGTGAAAGAAGCTATTTGCATATATAGGCAACCACCCTTAAAGTTGCAGTCCTCAGCATGTGTTATTGTACTATTGTGGCTTCCATTGTGTACCCGGGGCTTCCAAAGTTGAGTAAACCTGCTTTACCAGGTGTTTTCAGTACAATTCAGGGGACTGGACTAGATGACTTCTCAAGGTCCCTTTGAATCTTATGATTCACTTGACCTAAGAAAAACCTGTGAACTGTGTTGCTACAATAGTGATTATGTCAACTAGCTCTTGACTATGGTCTCAGTATTAAAGGCCAAATTTGGCTTGGATATTGTCTATCTTAGCTTTATAAGGAAGTCTCCTATATAAGGTGCCAGGCTGTTGGAGATTTTAACTATCTGTAAGACTATTTCAAAGTCTTTTCACTGTGCCTTCAGGACTGGAATTCCCCTTTTCAGTCAGTAGCAATGCCAATATGGTTTCTGCTTTCATCTCTCTCTCGTGTTTAAGTTGGCTTACTCTTCAATATGTGAGCTGTTCACTTTAATTCATTTTGCAAAGTACCTTGGAATGCACTTTGAGAGGCCCCATAGAACTGTAAGAGGAATGACAGAGTGATAAGAAACTAAAAACTAAAGAGTTAGAACAGGGGATTTTCATCTCTTGTAACCATTAGGTAATATCTGAAATACAGTATGAATTAGAAAGTCCCCCATTTCAGACATATCTAAGCAGTTCCTGAAACTTTGCAATATGCCACTTGCAGTAATTATTAAACAGAACCGTTCATTAAGCTGTTGACCTGGGTCAAACCACAAGTTCCCATAGGAGTCTAAGCACAATAACAAATTCTCAATTTGCCGAGAAATGAACTGTGGATAAAGAG